GCTAGATATAGTTCCATGAGTAATGTCTAGTCTGTTTTTGAATTTTTTTTGTCTATGTTTAAAGTTTATTTATTCTTTGTGTTTTGAAAAATTGTTCATGTAGTGTTCAGGGGTTTTGTTTTGAATTTAGAGATGATTTTTTTCATTTGCTTCTTTCAGCATTAAACTAGTGATGGATAGAGTATTGGGATTACAAGTGGAAGAAGCTTTAGACATGATGTCTTTCGAGGCACTCATTTTGCAGATTGGGAAACTGAGGAATGGGTAGGAGGGCTTACTCATATTCATAAAGATCTTGAGATCACTGGCCCTTTTAGATATGACTAGTTGATAAGTCATCAGTAGCTGAGATGACAGGCAGGAGCCGTCACGCCTAGCTTCCATGATTTGCTCTTCACAACAAAGTCTGCATGCATGTGCACCATAAACTAAATATAAAAATTTTCTAATATAGAGTATGTGTGGAACACAATTTAAAATAACAAAATATACATATAACTTAAAATTCTGTATGGCCAGTTAATTCTTACACAGTGCTGTTTTGCTTTTTCCCAGATTCCTGCATCTGCCACCAACCTGTGGTTACAGTTGGCAGAAGTGCTCTTTCTCATGAGTCTCCTTTGTTCAGTAGTTGCAATGTGAACACTCCTTCATAAAATGGACAGTTTTTCTTCACATTCCTTTGGCATTTTTGTATCATAGAATAAATCATATTAGGCTGTATTATAAAGTCAGTTTGTGTATTTTTCCCTGACAGAGTGGGAAGCTTGCATTAATCACTTCCGTATACATGGTGTTTTGAATATCCTTGGCACTCGGTAAATGTTTAGTGACTTGAAAGCAGTGTTTCTTCCTGAGAATGACCAATAATTGTGAGCAGATTTTATGTGCTTTTAAATTCAGCTTTAGAGAATTTTTTTTTCCATGTAAGGGGATATTTGTTGGGCAGCTTCATATAAAAGTACCCATAAAAGTTTCCTCTAAGGAATCCAGCACCCTTCATTTACTGTAAGATGCTTCCAGCTAACTTTGCTCTGCATAGTAATAGATCACTGATGTGCTGTTGATGTCAGTTTGTGGAGCAGGCCTTATTTGAGCTCATGCCATGTTTTGCAAGGCAGCACATAGGAACCTGGACAGACTTCCTGATGCAATGGCTGTCCACACAGCCCATGTCTTGGGAACAGCAGATTGGTCCCTTTGAAGGGACCAATACACAGTTATTTTACACAGTTATTAAAATACACAGTTATTTTAGTAACAATATTAGCTCCCTATTCATGAGTGTTTTTGTTGGAAAAATATTCGGCTTTCGTACAGATAATGTTTACGTTTCAAAAGTTGGATAGTGAGAAATGGTACTACCAAGATAACAGAATTAGCAATGCTTTAATTTTTCTTTTTTGACTCTATTGAGATTTTGAGAAATTTGAGAAAAGCTTTGCTAATATCAGTGTTTACAATGTGAGGAACACAGTAATTATTATTTTTAATAATTATAACAAATTATAATTAATAGTAACAAAGTTATTTGTAGAGATATTCATGCAGATGTGTTGTACTTAAATTTCTCCATACTCTTAATTTTAGGAAAAAATTAAGTTTTATGTTTTAGATGTGAATATTGTCTTACAATCTTCAATCTGAGGTACAAAAGAGAATCTAAGCTTCTAAAATTAGGTGTAGGCTCTGCCAGTGGCAACTTGCTCATTGTTTTTTCCCTCTCCCATTTTAGGAGCTATATTTTTTGAAAAGTAGAAAGTTCTAGACAGTAAGGAAATGTTCCAGATCGTGTGTTCTTGCCAGTAGAGGTAGCAATTAAGTGTTTGATTGAGGAGAAACCCACATTTATCCACTTCAAAGAGGGGTCATCAAGAGGGATTAAAAATGTAGTACTTCATTAAAGGTTAGAGTCCAGTAATTATGTATGTCGCTGGTAACAAGGCTGCAAGTCACCACTTGAGCATTGCGACATATTACTTGCTGAGACTCTTGGGATCTGTTCAAGGATCTCCACAATTTATAAAAGTCAACTACTTGGAGAATAACGTACTGCTACAGCATTTTTTATTTGTCCTGCTTTTCTGCAAATACTGTTTTCAGCTCACATAAGCCTGATAACAATCTTTTAACAACAACAAAAAACTATATAGAACATCTTCCCTGTTGCGAAGCAATACTGAATGAGCCTTTTGTTTATATAGAGCTCAAAAGAAATGAGTGTAGAGAAGATATTCACACTATATTGATTTCATTTGTTAGTAATTATGAAAGTAGTCTAATTTTCTAATCTTGCAGGTTGGAAATAATTAAAATGCTCAAGAGACAACAGACTGAGTCTGGTATGCTATTCTTGCTCAAAATTTTTAAGTTTTGAGTTGGTGGCTCTTCCTTTGTGCATTTCAATCTTTATTCCAATTTGTATTGCACACAGTGGCATTTTAATTTCAAAGGAAAGTATAGTCAGAGCTGGAGTCTGTGGCTCACGTCTGTAATCCAAGCTGCTTGGAAGGCAAGCAGTGGGAGGATTGCAGTTGGAGGCCAGCCCAGGCAAAAAGTTCGTGAGTCCCTGTCTCAACGAATAAAGGCTGGGTGTGGTGGTGTGGCTCTGCCACTCGAGGTGTGTGGGGAGCATAAAAAGGAGGATTGGTGTCCAGGATGGCCCAGGCATAAATGCAAGACCCTCTTTGAAAAATGATGAAAGCAAAAAAGACTAGATACATTATTGGACATAGCTCAAGTGGTAGAGTGCCTGCCCAGAAAGCGCAAAGCTGTTATCATGTTATTTTACTGCATAAAAATGCAGTGGCAGGAGAAAGAAATTAGAACTCTCCACACTCCTCTTACAGAGCATAGCTGTTAAGTTTTTAATCTCCAGAACTCCCTGTCTATAGCTGTCTAAAGCAAAGTCTGTGTGTTGTCGTCTGTCAGTATTGCTGCCCATAAGACTGTCACACGGTTGGCTTCTAGTGCCTATAATTTGGCTTGAATTGAATTTAAAATGGGATTGAGCATAGAGTATCACAAAAATGATAGCTCCTAAGTCATGCCAAAACCTTCCTTCCTTTAATTCCAAGGATTAAAAACAAACCTATTTAGTAGTCACTACAGTTGCAAATTAGGCCATAAAATTGAAGCTGTCCCTTTCTTGAAAGATGGTGTCAAACATATGAAAAGTAGCTCTCTAGTAGAACCCTAAAATTATTTGAGTAAAGACAATTTTACCTTTAACTATCTCTGATATTATGTCTTTTCTTAGTCTGATAACTACTTGGGCTGGAAAAATATCAATTTAGTTAAGCGATACTTTCGTTGAATTATTTTATCAACCAGACAACAATATCATTGGTTGTTTTTATTTATCTTTTTCATTTTTAATCACTAGTTCTGTGAGTCCTTCTCTCCTAGGGCAGTGGACTGAACAAATGACATTTTTTTCTGCCATTTGTAAGCATTAGGAGTAGAAATCAATAGTTAAATTAACCCAATAAAAGACTTCTGTGCCCTTCTATTAAGACAAGAAGAACACTGAAAGCAATACGTGTAGACTCATAAGGCTCAAAAGCACTGTTCATGAGAATTTAGTAAGCATAATATGGTGCTAACAAACTGCAGTTGTTTGTTGAAGTTCATTTAAGCCAGGATTTTGTTAATAAGCTATGTGTACTCAGAGTTAGATTTGGTAACAGGTCAGTGATTATGCCCCATGCCAAAACTGGGGACATACCGGCTTCACTTTACTCCCAGCAAATCTGTGTGACTTGATCTTTTTCCTTTTGCTAATCACTGATTGCTTCTCTTTAACATCATAATTGCATTCCAACTGAAAGATAGATGCGATATTTAATTCAAGATCTATGCAAATGTCCTTATTCATTGGATACTGGTATTAAATGATGAGGAAGCTATACTGTGCAAGGATCGATACATTGTAACCCTGGCCCTGCTTTTGTAGATCTATAATATTTGCCTAACTGTACTTATATTTAATACAGTTGTTACATGAATAGTCTAGTGTTGTTAAAGCAGTAGTGTACATCAATGATTTGAACTTCCTTTTATATACATACGTCATCAAATATCAATAAGTAGATAAAAATCAATACACTGAAGCAGTCCGGTTCTGTGACTGGTTCTGCTCTCTCCTCCCTTTTGATCAATACTGGATCAACATCTTTTATATGACATGTAGTTTGAAAGCAGAGGACATGCAAAAATAATCCCCAGTTTTGGCCTTTTCCTGACCTCGATCAAATTCAAATAGTTTCTTTCAGCTGTGCTTTCATTTTTGCCTTCTCTTGTTGGAGATAAATCCTCTTGTGTGCTCCTGAGAGAAGGAAATCACTTAGACATCTCAGATCAGTAATTCCATGTAGAGAATACTTTTTAAATGCTGTTGTCATTCATAGAAAGCACATATTTCCTTCAAGAATCTCTTTGAATTACTTGCACATCCTCATTCCCTTTCCTGTATCACATTATTCTTTTTAGGAGTTTAAAAATTTTCTGTTACATAGAGTCCTGTAAATAGCAAAGAGCAGTTGCACTTTTTTTTTAATGTTACTTTTCTGACCTGTTAAGTTTATTCTCTACTTATCTAATTTATTGAAGACTGTGGTATGCAGGAACAAGCTTTCATAATTCAGTGATCTCTTTTTGGAGTCTTAAAATTGGCCACGGGAGTATTTAGGCCATGGGAACTAGCAAATGTTACAATCCAGGGGCTTCTCTTCCCTCGAAGAGTAATTTATTAATCCCTTAACAGGGATGGGTGCATTGGCTCATAGCTGTAATCGCAGCTACTCAGGAGGCAGAGATTGGAAAGATCATGGCTTGAGTCTAGCCCAAACAAAAAGTTAGTAAGACCCCTGTCTCAACAAATAAGCCAAGCACAGAGGGGCATGTCTATAATCCTAGCTATGCAAGAGGCATAGAGGAAGATTGTGGTCCGAAGCTGGCCCAGGCAAAAATGCAAGATCCCATCTAAAAATAACCAAAGCTAAAAAGGGCTGGGGTTTTGGCTCAAGTGGTAGAGTGCCTTCTTAGCAAGCTCAAGGCCCTGAGTTCAAACCCCAGCACTGCCAAACAACACATAAACAAAACCCTTAGAAACACTAAGCAGTGTCATCTCTCCTTTAAAAAAATACATCTATGTGAACTAGCCATGTAGTTTTATTTCCAGGTATCTCCTTTCCACACTGCTTGAAGTACTCAGAACATCATTCACTATACTGCTTGCTGACTGAATGATAGGCAGTTTACTCACCACTTCTGTGCCTTGTGTCAGTGTCCTAGTCTGTGAGGTAGGGATAATAGGGTAAAACTAATAGTCCTTACCTTGGGGTTAACGTGAGGTTGAATAAGAAATGCTGTTAGGTCTGTGACTGGCAAAATGGCCTGTTACACAAGGAGCACTCAAATAACTCTACCTCTTATCTCGCTGTACTTAATTAATGTAGTCATCCCTTGGTGTCCATGGACTGGTTCCACAACACACCGGCCCTTGCAGATCTGCAGTCTAAGATGTCAAGAAATTGGTGTGAAATAGCAGACAGCCTATGTACATCCTCCTGTTTAAGTTAGTTCTAGATTACTTGTGATAGCTAACACAAGGGAAATGCTATGTAAACAGTTACTATATATTATTTGGGGAATAATGACAAGAAAACACTGCACATATTCAGTACAAACACAGGTTTGTTTCAGATATTTTCAGTGTACAGTTGGCTGCAAGTGTAGGTATGGAGCCATGGGTAGAGGAGCGGCTGTGTGTACTTTCTGATCTTTGTAGTCTTTTTGCTGAGTCCAGTGGCTATCTATCCATACTCAGTTCCTCTCATATTGAATAGGGTTAGGAACACTGACCTATGGAAAATGACATATTTTTCTGTGCCACCTAATGTCCTTTTTATTTTTGTCTAGAACTTTTTTTCTCCCTGTATATGAGTTTTGAAGACCTTTCTCATATTTAGATTTTGCTTGGACTTTATCTCCTCTAGGAGATTTCTCTTTCCCCTAGCCCTAGCCACTTACTTAACTGTCCTGCCTCTTTGCGCTTACAGTTCACCAAGCTCATAACTCTGTAACTGCACTTGGAACACGAATCATAAATCTCCCTTCATCTCTGCCTTTGAGCTTCGAGCCTGGGCTTTACAGCTTTGTGCTCTTACCTCTTGTGGGAAACTCTTCATGGGTAGTAGAGCCTCCAGAAATGTGTACTATGTAGTTCTTAGCTGAAGGGATGAGCATGGACTTTGCTCGTAGGCACCTTACTATTTGTTTGACAAGATAATATGTACACCTGAGACGTGGAGATGAACAAGAAAGTGCAGTAGTGTTATCTATATTTTTAGATTTTTTTTAGTTTATAATTAATTTTCAAAAACCTAAGATTCTTTTTCTAGCAGGTTAACAGTTGTTTACGTATTGCACACATGGGCATTAGTGTTCACAGATACAACTACATTGATTTAGGTCAGCCAGACCAGACTGTGAGTAGCAAAATCCAGTTTTATAAACTAGGTTTTGTGACTTTAGGACAGAAATAGAAAATAAAACTTGGTTACTCTTTCTGGCATTTACACATTCTTTGTTCTTTCTGTTTTTATTTACTTAATTTTTTTATTGTAAATTTTAAGCATAATATATCAAATTAGCATTTTGTATGCACGTATGCATGTACATATCAATCAATACTTTATCCATGTTGTGTCATTTTATGTTAAAACATATCTCAGACAACCTGTTATTTTATGTGTAAATTTTTAGTAGTCTCCAACAGATAGGAACCTGTTTTAAATATAACTCCACTTACAAATCTATCAGACTTGACAGTAATTGCAGTGTGTTACTTAATATGTACTTTGTGTTCAGTTCCATTGCAGTGGAAAAGAGCAGTGTCTTTACTATGGGTGTATCATTCATGTTGGCATCGAAACAGAACTTGAGTATTCCATTTGGATGCAGTGTCTCTTAAGATGCTTTTCATCTGTAACCATTTGTGTTTCTGTGTTATTCTTAGGGCTTTATTTGTTAGGAAACCCAGATCATAGTCCTGGAAAATGTCTGAAATTCTTAATTCATCTGATTGCTTTGCTATCAGGTCACTTATTTGTTCATCTTATTTTCTGTAAACTAGAAATTAGAGCTACTGTTGAGTTCACCTATAATTTATTTACTATTATTTAGTGAGAACTCTTTCCACATGGTCCTGTGTACTTTTGATATATCATACCAGGAAGAAATTGTGGATTATTTTTTAGCAGCTGATTCTTTAAGAATTGTAGAATAATAACTTTTAAGCATACTTTTCCTGCTACATTTATTGCTAGAAATTCTCTTATAAATAACTTTCCTTTAAGTGTTATTTAGCAACTGCAAAATACATTTTATATCAGATAAGTAGGGAAAATGCATGCCTTTTGACTTATCAACTTTCAGAATTAAATATTACCTTCTAATCTAAGATTATTTTAAATTAACATTCATAGTATTCTAATAAATTTAAAAACTTTTCTTCTGGGAAAATTCTTTGAGTTGTTTCTAATCTTGTTAAAACTAATATATTTTGATAACATTACTTCCCATGGTGCTAAGAAGTTCACTTTCTTTTTTCTTTATTGTAAATATGCCTTAATGAGTATGTTGTGGATTTTAGAATAATTATTTAGGTACTCATTGCTATTCTAAGTCTTCTAGATGTTTTCTGAAGAATAGAAACAGCTCTCATATTCATGGTCAGATATTGATAGAACTGTTACAATTATTTGATATTAGAGGAGAAGGCCAAGTCTTGACATCAAATTAAAGTATATTTATAATTATAAATTAGAAATAGGAATGCTTTAAATTATGCTACTAAACCTTTGCTAACATGTTTTATGATGTTGCAGAGAAGTGCTGGGAAGAAAGAGATCTTTAAAAGGATGGATATTCTGTTTGCTTTGCTAAAGTTCTTATCAGGAAATTTGAAAGGAATATAAAAAAGTGAATGTTATTTCTGTAACTCTAAGGATTCCATTGAATTTAACTTTGAAGATAAAAAGTGGATGTTTATTTATGTCCATTGAAAGACTTGAGGAAATAGTTCCATCTGAACAGCACAAAAATTGACAAAATTTTGTTAACATATTGACTATTTTAATCTTTTGAAAATGGAAGGCGTGCATCAAGGTGACAGTAGTAAAATTCTAAAGAGTTTGTGAAAAGTAGACGTTATGCAACAGGAAAAGAATACCAGGGGAAAAACTGACAGAGTACAACAACAGGAAGATTAGTCACTTCTGGAAGGAAAGAAAGGTGGGGGTTGGGGTAGGGGAAGAAGTATTTTAAACAGGAATGTGAACTGGAAGTGCCTGTGCTAAAAGGCATATGTGAGCTCATTTCAGAACTAAACTGAGTTTTTACAAAGGAACACTGGTAGCATCAAATATCAAAACATGAAGTTTGTATTAATAATAAATAGAACAAAATGGAACAAATTTTCTGTTAGGCCTTAAGAAAGCCTGGAAAAATAAAAGACTGATGTTTATTCTTTAATGGAGCAGATTTGGCTTAACTTAGATAGCATTGTCAAATGTGAATAAAGAAAATATATTTCTTTCAAAGCAAGCTGAAATTCTATTATCCTCAAGTGTCAAATAAAAAGAAGCATTATGATGTCCTGGCTATGACTGCTATTCAGTTTGAAGTAATTTTCACTTCTGTAGTTCATTCATTTGACAAATAAAGGAGAAGCAATCTCCAAATATTTTAAAAATGATTTCTTAAAAATATAGATTGTAACTCACTATATGAGAGAGAGAGAGAGAGAGAGAGATAAGAAGAGAGAGAAAGAAATTGAGAGAGAGAGAGATTGAGAGATTGAGATTGAGATAGTGTGTTGATGAAGTCCCATGGATCTCTGGTTTCTATTCTGGGTTCTAGTGACATTCATGAAACAGATTTTGCTGGTCATATGTTCAACCACTTTGAATGCTCTCACCCATCAAATGGTAATAATAACATACCTCCTTCAAAACTGTAACAAGAGCAAACCTAATTAGACATGTGTAGAAGCCTTACAAAGTGGTGGTATTTTGTTCCCTTAACAGACCTGTAGTCAAGTATTGAACCCAACCTAAGCTTGAATGATGCATTTCTAATTAATACTTGGGAGACAGATGGACAACTGCAGTGGAAGTTCTTTTGATGCCTTAGTTATTCATAACTGTCTGTTTTGTGGGTCCATACTGGACAAATGGAAAATTGTTACTTCTCGTGGTCATCCCTTAGTTACTCCAGTAGGTAGCAAATCATATACAATGAATTTTAAATAAAACAGATAAATCTAAGCAGATAACTCTTAAGATTATGTAAGCATGACACCAGTACAATCTACCTTATCAGGAAAAGGGTATACTATTTTCACTTAAAGACAGAAAATGATTTCCATATACTGAAAAAGATTTATTTGATGTAACTCTGTGGAATATGTCATTCTGTATTATTGAATTCATGGAAATGTAATGAATTCATGTAGCAAGGCTTTCCTATTGATTTTGTTACAAATCTAAACACTTCCATAGTCCATGTGCACAGAATTTGCTGAGATAAATTCAGTCTCCTGTATAAAGTAGCCATCTAACACAGACACCAAATACTGCCTTATTTAAAAACCTTTTTCACCCTCTCACTCCTTCCCCTCCCCCAGACATAACTGAATAGGAAATGTTTATTTTCCAAACTATAGAAGACAAATGTTATCTAAAACACTGAGAGTTCTTCCTTTTCCTCCTTTGGAAACACTAAGTCATATTGAGTCACTTGTGGATTTTATTTAGCCAGTTGTATTTAAAGCATAAAATTGTGAGGACAAAATGACTCAGGAATTTGTAATGTACAGTTAAAACTTTTCACTTTTAGGTCACTAGTTCATACACAAATGGCTTAGTGTTAGGTAAGGATTGGTGGATTGTTTGGTTATCCTCTGGGGAAGCTGGCTGTAACCTCACATCTTCTGACTTAAGTGTTCCCTAGTTTGTTTATGATTGTATTTATTTTCAGATAAGCATGTTCAAGGAATTAAATAAAAGGGAGAGAACCTGCTAAGAGCTGATGAATAAAGAAGCTGTTGCTTCTTACTCATCCATAAATACTGCTTTTACTGATAATCATTTTAAAATAAGTGAAGTGTTAAAATGATCAGAAAGTTATACTTGAATCTTACTAATTACACTGTCATTGATATCAGCAAGAATAAGAACTAACTGCAGTGGATAAGTTGAGAAATCAGAATTGTATCTCTGTCTGTATCTATATAAGTATATATTTGGATGACTGTGTAAATGACTCATGATTCTTACTAGTGTATCCCTTAATGCCAATGTCATAAAAATTGTTCAAGGGGCTGAGGCATGAGGACTGGAAGTGCAAGGCCAGGTTGGGTTACATAGGGAAACCTTGTCTCAAAAATAGTTTATTTTTCAGATCCATCTTATATAAAAGCCTACAGGGTTACTTTGTTTATCTCACCCAAAAGATGTCAGGGTGTGCTTTTTAACATTTTTAAGTAATCTGTGTATATTCAGCATTAACATCGGATACTGAAACATGTAAATCTCTTGTTGTCAGCCAGAGAATAAATCAGACTCTAGTGGGTGAGATATGTAATACCCAGAGAATGCTACAGAGAAGATGCTTGTCTAGACATTGGGTACAGAACTGTCATTTGCCTCCTATGGTAATGTTTGATTTTTAAAATAATTGAGAGTAAATAAACTCTAAGTGACACATTACTTCAAGCTATTCCACATGGGCACATGAATGAATTATTCTTGTTCAATGCTGCCAGTGCCTGCATTTCTTAAACCTTATGGCTAAATTGTAACAGAAGGAAAATGCCTTCACCATAATTCTTCAAATATTCTTTCTGAAGTTTTAATGGATTTCTTTGTGCTAATTTATATTAGGTTAGGCCTAAAAAAACAGCTGAAGATAGCCAAAGTTAGTCCAGAGAGTTCTAGGCTTCCTGATAAATTAAAGAAATAGGTTTGTTTCTGAATTCTTAATTGGCTTTCTACTCTTAAATTTATGGCCTTAGCTGTTTGATTTGAACTGTCTGATGACTTTGGTCCTCATTCGCTAATTCAGGGAAGGTCATTTTAGCTGCTGAAGGGAGTACTTTGGTCCAAGGTTGGTTTCTGACTGTGTCTCATGGGATGACCCTTGGATTTCTGAAGCTGTCTCTGAACTCATAATTATTGTCTAAGCCAATCACTTAATTAGATTTATTTGCCAAGATGGTAATGAAATATAAAGTATGACTTGCAGCAATGGTAGTCCTCCCCAACAGAATGACAGGACACTTCAATGGTAGTAATGTTTCTGCCCTGGTAATACCTCTGAAGATATGACACACTTGGGAAAAAATGTGAAAACTGAATTTGTCCTTGACACTCTTAAGACCTGAGAATCACATAAAACATTTGTTAATTCCTAACACTAGTAAGTATCATGAAGAGGAAGGCATGCACATGATATAAGCTTGTGTACATGTTTATAAATACTAGGTTTTTGAAAAGGCACAGTCCGTGCCAGATCTGCCCCCAGAGTTCTGGTCAGACATGATGTTTCTTACTCCCTTTTTTGAAGAACTATAATGCTCCATCAGCTTTCAAGAGGCAATAGAGGGGAGAGCCACAGCTTCGAGGTCTACATTCCCTAGGTCCAAATTTTACCTTTGCTGTTTGTTATTTGCATGACCTTTCCCAGCCTGCCTCAAATCATCAGGTACACCTTATCAAATTGAAGCATATCTACCTTGTTGGTTTGTTGTGAATGTTAAATAAGTTAGTATAGGTAAAGGTATTGCAGACTTTTATGATGTACAATAAGTACTGTTGACATAATAGCTATTGTTAAATCTTAATGTTGATGTAAACATTTTGTAATGTGTATGTTGTCAATAAGTTTTCAATACCGAAGTAAATAAAAGCCAGAATTAGTGTTGCAGTTTTAATGAGGTGACTTAGAGCTCTAGCTCTGGAACGTTACAACTTGGATTCATATTATTGTGACCTGAAGAAGCTATATGACTTAGTGGGTCCTCATTTTCCAAAAAGGGGTAGTACTAATATTTAATGTTGTGTGGTGCTGTGCAGATTAAATGGGATAACACATATCACACATTTGATACTTGGTCCTTAATGAGTTGCCAGTGTGAGTTACCTTTGTTCTTATTCCTTCTTGTAAAGTACTTACACGTGAGAAACATACTAAGAATCTGCGTATATAGGGTTTTCATTTTTGTTAATGAGGGTTATTAATCTCTGTTCTGCACAGAACACATGCATGGTGTTTATTCTCTAATAAGTAAATGATTAGGAAAAGATTAATTTCTAAAAACTTATCCTTTGTAGAGCTACTTAAGTTACAGTTAAAATCGAGTTGGTACTCTTTGTAGAATTTTAGCTTTGGATAAATTAGTTAGATCAACGTTTTAGTAATGTTATTACATGCTTAGATCTGTTATCAGTCATGTTTTAGCCAGTTGTTAACATGAATGTCAGTAAAAAAGAAAAACTGATCAATAATGTCAAAATGGAAATGAAATTTGGGAGCAAAGAAGTCATTCAGTGTTTATCTGTAAAGATCCTGAGACTTGGCATTTCCCCATCTACTTAAGTGTTGTAAAGATTGTGAAAACATTAGCATTTGCAAATAAAACAGGGATTCTATGTTAGGAAGGCTAATGATTATGAAAAAATGACCAGAATTGCTTTGTGAAATTCTTTCTTTCATTAACAGGAAATTTTAGGGCAATGCATTTTCTTGTTGAAGTAGGCAGGGTGAAGAACAATGTTAGAAGAATGGATCTAGGCTTTCCTGCAATAAAGTAACCTTTTAAGAGCAGATTTCTTCATAGAATTAGAGACTTAGAATTTCATAATAACAATATACACATCACCTTGTTTGGAGAGCAGATTTTAAGTATGATCAAGAAAACACCTGTTTGACATTGTGGAAAAGGTGCATGGAAAAGTCTGTCTGGGTGTAGAATAAACAAGATTGCTTTGGCTAGCGTCCTGCAGTGAGGTGGGTCTGAATGGTCTGCTCAGCTTCTGCCGCTGCTGCTGCTGCCGCTAGTGATACTGAGGTGGAACGTGGTTGACCTAGCATATCCTTTACTCTTGGTGCTGCAGCAGTACACAGGAAGTGTTGTTTAAGGGAACGCTCTGGATCCTTTTCATGGCCCCATGGCAAGAAGAAGCAGTATCTTATCTATTGAAGATGAAAGTGTGGAGTTGGCTAATGGATGCTGGTGAGTGAATAAGGCAAACGGGGATCCAGTTTACTAAGATGCCTGTGGGGTAGGCATCCTCTCTTTAGGACTGTGATGGCGTCCATGGAAACATGGCCTCTGGCAGTCTGTTCCTCAGCATTTGGTTTTAGAAAGGAATCATGGTTTTTACATTAATGAACTGATCTATAACCTGTGTGTGTTTCATAAATAAAGTTACTCCAAACTTTACTACTTAAAGCCATTAATCATAAAATTAAGTCAATGGAGCATAGCTCTCCATACACATTACTTGAAATCTACTTTTGCTCTTTACTTGACTCTCAGTAATTAAAAACAAAGACCTTCTAGTTTTTTCTTTCATTTCTAAATGAATTATTTATTTTTTCACAGTATATTTTATTTTTAAAAAACTGGTACTGATTTTTCTAATTCCACCACATTGTGTAAAGAGCTTACGAATAAATGAATGAACTCCTCTGTTTCAAATCACCAGCATTTATTTATACAATTTTTGTGTCGTCTTAGTTTTGTTCATATTCCTAACAACTGATTATCAGGGGGCTGGGTGGCTCACAGTACTGTGTAGGTAGAGATTAGGCTCAAGGCCAGCCAGGGCTAATTGTTTGTAAGACCCATTTCAATCTGTAAGCCAGGTGTGGGAGCAGCCTTGCCTGTGGTCCCACCTATGCGGGAAGTAAGGTAGCTAGGAGGATCACAGACTGAGGTTGGGCAAAACCACAAGACTCTACCTGAAAAATAAGCAAAGCAAAGAGGCCTGCCTTGTTGTGATTCAAATGGTAGCGCAGTTGCCTAATAAGCATGAGGCCCTGAGTTCAGACCTTGGCACAGCTAAATAAATAAGTAAAAATAAATAAGTAAATAAATAACTGGTTATCATAAGTGGGATTGAAAATATAGGTGCAGAAATACAAACTATAGTTGAGTTTTTAGATTTCAAGTCAAACTATTACATTTATAAAAGGTAAGCTTCGTTTTTTGTTTGTTTGTTTGTTTGTGTTTTGTTTTCTTCTGTAGGGGCTAGCCTAATCTGACGGCATCAAAATCTCTCTCACTGGTGTGATGTTTTAAAATTTTAAGTTTTACTTCAAACTACCATCCAGAGATTCTAAAACAATATTTTTAAAGGGAATTGAGATTCTTCATCCTCCCTTCATAAGAATCCCAGTTTCTTTAAATTTTAAATAATAAACATTTGGGCAGTATTGACTGTATTGTAGTGTAGGTTTTAATTTTTCCTTTCCATTTATTAATTATTTTTTGTGGTACTGCAGCTCTTTCCTAGGGCATTGTGAATGCTAGACAGACACTCTACCACTTGAGCCATGCTGCCGGGCCTGGTCTTAATGTTTAAACAGTGTCTGATCCTTAGTGACTTATCAGGCATAAGTGAACTTTCCTTAAGAAAAAGTTGCATTTATTTCATATGTTGTTAACAATATATATTACAGAAGTCAGTAGCTATTTTTAAATTTTTCAAATAATTGCAAAATCGTTTGAGCCATTTGACACAAAGTAAAATAGATAAAGTAATACTATAAAGTGTGAAGTATTAGATAAAGTAAAACTTTCATTGCCTTAGATTTGAAGAAAATCTAAGTTGGTATTTGAAGTGAAGGATTACAGACACATAACTGCCAGTAGGCAATATATTTCTTCACACCTATTTTTAAAGTAAATATAAAATACTCTGCATGTTTAATTTTCTCTTAGTTTTGAGAAGTGAGTGCCTAAAGCATTGGAGTTGTTTTCATTTGGTACATACTACTGACAGAATTCATACTTTTTTTCTAACTTATTTCATCCAGTTTATCAAAGCAGAATGTATTAGACATCTGTTCTTGTAGTTGTCTAATATTTAATCTTCAGTGGCTCAAGATGAGTTCCTGGAGGCTGTGAGCAATTGAAGAGCTGTGAATAGTGGTTAACAAGCTATTAGCACCTCTATGCAAAGTGCAACATCTTGAAGCACAACCAGATTCAGGAGAACCTTAGATGAGTGAGTCCTTTTTCTGATAGTGCTCCAAAACTTAAGTTAATCGCTTTTCTCTCTTCCTCCTTTTTTCTTCTCCCCTTTTTGTCTCCCATCTCTTGCTTTTCTCATCTCTGTGCTCTTTGTCCACTTCCCTCTTTTTTCCTCAAATTCTCCTTCTCTTATCTCATTAGATTCCTTCAATCACCCTTCATCTGATGATAGTAGAAAGTGATGTTTTTGATAAAATGTGTGTTGTCCTTTTAAAAACAATTTTAATTACCTTTCAACTTAAAAACCAATTGAGTTTAACATCTCTGTCTTTGCATTTTCTACTCTAATTCTAGACAAGTATGCCTGTTAATCTCTTGCCCTGTGAATCAGTGGTCTGGGATTGTTTGTATTTGTAATTAACATAAAGGTTGTGATGATGGAATATGACATCTTACCCCATTTTTCAACTTTAGTCTCAGTACAGTGGGCATGCTATGATATATGTTCCTTATTCTTCTTTCTAGAACTAGATCTTCAGACCTCCTCATCCGTGTTTGGCTTTCTTATGGGGTGCGTCAATGCCCTATTGCCATGTATTTTGTTGCATTTCTCTGTTGCTTCTTGTGTGCTGGCAGGGAATTTTGGTGATTGTTTTCAAGCGCTACCTGAGCTCTATGCTAGTTGTTCCCTTTCTCCCAGGGTCTTGTGCTGCGTGGTCATGTCTCTGTTTCCTTGGGCCTGCCCATTGACAGAACCTTGTTTCCTTATGGCTGCCTCTAAACGTTTGTGACGATGGGGAATATTTCTCCTCCTGCTGCTACAATTGAGCCCCGTGGTGGGAACCATATTGCCCTCTACACTTGCTTTCAGTTGTTAAGGCTTCCCAAGCTTTGGCTGTGGCTCAGCAGTCCTGCTGTCAAAACCCTGAAGCTTTTCTAGCCTGGACACTCAGTGGTAGCAGCAGGTGTTGGGATTTCTCCAAGTTCCTAAGACCCTGGGAGGAAGAAAGTGGCTGTTGACATAGACTGCAGGAGTTTTCAGAGCATCAAGAAACCTCTCCAGAAGATGTGGAAAGGTAAGATTTGGATTTCTCTAGAAGCTATTCTAGAAGCTTTTTCAGACACTTCTAGCTGTGGATTTAATGTAAATGGGTTTTAGTAACGAGTATCCTTGGAGAACTAACTCTTTGATAATAGAGTCAATATATAAGTCCTAGATTGGAGAACTTATTAAGAACATTTTTTAAAGAAATTTTGTGTGCTTATGTTTCTGTTCTATTTCACTTATATTAAGTCTGGCATTGAACAGATTTTTAAAATATTTCATTCCATTCTTGAATTTGAACTTATGAAGCAGATCATGTTTTTCTCGTTCACAATCTGCATCATGTATGAGAAATAAGAGAATTCTTATCGATTTAAGATGGATAAAAATAAAATAGAATTTTTTTAACCAAATGCCTATATTTTATTTACTTCTCCATTAATATTTAAAACTAAAAAAATTAAAATGAATATATTTTCAGCTTCTCCAGACAGATTCCTGAACACATAATTAATTCAAAAGGAATCAGAAGAACACTTAAATCTTGGCTGTTCTAGGATAGATTATTATCCTTTGTCAGAATTACTGCCTGGCATTCTAATAATGTAACCGTCTCTTTTAGGGCTTTATTTTCAGTTTTATACATGGATTATTCCACCTGCCTCTACTGTTGGGGAAAATCATTCGTGTAGCTTATCTGGATGGAGGATCTGTGTTGGGATGCTGGTGCTGGTTTTTGCATGAGGGATGGGGAGAGAGATCACATCTTAAAATGAATAATGAAAGTTATCTTGTGTGCATTATGGCTTTGTGCCAGCTTTATTTATATGTCTTTATTCTTTATCCTGCATCTGTTCATGAAGTGGTATTAAGACACCTTTTCCAATAGGTTATCATTATCAGCCTGTCACTTCATGTCTTTTTTATGTCTTTGCTTTCTTTTCAGTGTGAACTTAATCTTTTCATTGATTCCCTATAGCTGGAGTCAAGGCTTTTAACTTTATGCCACAAATGCCACATTGAGTCCCTTTAATTTTAATATCCCAAAGTGTATCAGAATTTAAGAAGTAAAAAAATGTTTACAAATAACTAAAAAATGAAAATCTCTGTATTTGACAGTATGTATTTAGGATGCTGTTTCTCAATAAATTTTATTTTCATAGACAGTTCATTTAATTTCAAAGTAGGTTCATGCTATAAGAGAAGCAAAAGAGGAAATATCCTAATATCCTAAATCTAGAGAATTTTTTTCTCACTGTTGTTCTGTATGTAAAACAAGGTTTCAGGATCTTCAGTGTTGACACCTAGTATTTTACCCCTTGAGATTTTACCTGTAAAGAAGATATGACATCCATATACAGGAATTGAACTGAATAAGGGTATGACATCATCTCTTGCATTAAATCTTTGGACTTTTTTAGTGTTGTAGCAGTAATGACTGACTTTTTTTCCCTTCCAAGTTCAGTGTTTTGTTTTTTTAAGTAAAGTGTTAGAATATATGAAAATTTTGTGCCTATTTCTCTTAATACATTAAAAATAGTGGAAGTTTGGAAATTGTCAATTCTTTACAAGACCAGGCTGAGACCTGACCACACTAATGTGATCTGTTCAACATAAGTAATTCCAAGTTTGGTGACCATTAGCAAACTGGCATTTGCAATTAAATCCACAGACATAAGTTTTCCAATAGGGCCTTATTCTCATAATGCCAGCCAATGGTCTAAGTGGAGCTAAGCAAACCCAAAGTTCTGTGGACCTTTTGACAGTTGATAAGCACCTGGGCTTCCTACACCACAAACTGCAAAAGCCAGCGACCAGACACCACTTGTTCTCGCATAACCAGTGATCCTGCCAAAAGTAACCAGTTCTGGGTGGCCATAGTTAAGTCAATTTAAAAACATGAGTAGGCACTGTCCACTCTGTCCACCCAGGAGCTACACCAACTCTGTACCCAAACTGATTTACTGAAGGTCTGTGCTGTTTGATGAGGGTACACAAGACATAGGAAATTTATTTTATAAAACAAGAGGATTTATAAAAGTATTTACACTTGAAATGTCCAAGTTTTATTCTCTCTATACTCCAAATGATGGCTAAATGGAATGTTTTTAAGTCTTTATAGTACCACAAAGTGGGTAATTGACTTCATATGTAAAAACAGAAAAGTGAAATTTTAATGCTTTTATTTGTAACATTTATGAGCTTACAATTTTAAAAATGAACCTTTTTTCACCTTTTTGAAAAGTAACTTGAGGCAGAGACTGGAGGGAGGAGTCTGCATTATTCTCACACTTGTCTTGAGTGCATTTCCTTTTTATTTCTCCAGAATGGTTACATTCTCTTGAGAGGGAAATCAAACTAATCTAAGAATGTAAGCTCTGAATTCCCTTTTTTAGCAAGTTCAATTTGAAAGTAATTTAAGTATTTTTGGAGTAATTTATAATACTCATTTCAGAAAGAATGTAAAATCCTTACTATAGATCATAGAAATGGGTACTGGTTCTCAAAATAAGGCCCAAACCACAGTCCTTATTGCTCATAAGAGAATTTCTGCCTCACCCAACTCAAAAATACTCATCCCTCTCAATTCCCATCCCATCTATTCCTGCGCCCTTCTTGGAGATTTTCAAGCAATTGATGCTGGCAGACTTTGAGAAAAGTCAAATGTAAGGTTTTATTATTTTTGTCCTTTGTTGTAATAAATAAATCAAAGTTTCTCAGTTTCATTAGGCATATCCATAAAGGAATGAAAGAGCATATCTGAAGTGGTTGGAGCAACTGAAAGACGTAGGGTTGAGGTCAGATACAAACATTTTTATTACTTTAGAGGAGTTCTGTTCATAAACAAAATATTCCTGTTTATTACTTATTTTTTATGTGGAACTGAAAGCTTATTGGATCAATTATACAAAATTAAAAGGCTCTCTTTAGCTATTTTAATAGATGATTACTTACATATACAATCCCGTTGCAATCACCATCTTATGTATTCTTCTTGATGCAACTTGAGGTAGTGTTATCATTTCACCAGAACAGATGAGGAAACTGAGACCAGAAGAAGATGAATAACCTGCATGTGGTCTCATATTTGAGCAGATTCAAACCTGGCAAGTGTGGTGGCTCCAGAGTACATCCTCAGAGGTCCTTACCAGTGTGACCTCTTGTGGGGAGTGCTTGTTTTAAATACAGTCCTAATACTTTCCTTAGCACTGTGTCATCTTTTTTTTTCTTTTTTCCTAAGTCTTTCAGCTCCATTTGCTCTCAACTCCATTTTGGGCTATTTGTCCTTGGAAAGTTTATCTTTTCTCAGATGTAGTCCTACCCTTTCTAAAATACGAGCAATAATATCTCCTCAGAGTTTGTAATGAAGATTTAATTAAATAAGACAGTGTATTCCAAGCACTTAGCATTGTGGATCGCATACAGCAAATAGTCAATAAATTAATGTTGCTATGTAATTTTTCCATAGTGATGCAGCTAGAAAGTAAGTCAGACCTTAGTCTGACTGGAAAACTAAGTAAAATTAGAAATATACACACATTCTCCCTCCACAAAGAACATCAACCATAAAACAAAACATGCTTTTTCTGGACTGTAACACTTCCTCTCAACTAATCATACATTTTGTGATTGGTAAGTTTAATGCTAAGGGCAAATTTTCAAAGTGGGATTGGAATTCCAACTCCATCATTTACAGGCTATGTGATTTTAGACAAGTTACTTCATCCTTCTGGGGTTCTTCACCACCATATTAAGCTAATAATAAAATGAAATAAGGAAAAATTGCATTGTAGTATTATGGACATTAAATGATACAAGTATAATTAAAGGGCTCCAATAATTGTTGACTTTTATTAAGAGCTGATAGAGATATACCTATTTCATAAAACACAGTATTCTTGTAAAATTGAAATGCCTGGTAAGTGAAAACTGTAGAGTTTAGATGGTTAGGATTTTAGTGATTTGATTTTTAATTCTCCAGGAATTTACATGCTCTCCCTGTCAAGCTGTTTGATGTCATGGGTTTGTATAGAACTGTCGTGGCAAAACGATGTAGAGAGAAAAGACATTAAAGACCAGAACTGAGCCAAATATGGTCATAATTTGAGAGGTAGGTGAACGTCTCACAATCTTAGCTTATATCAGTGACTGGCACCAGAGAGTAGGAATAATCGTGGTTAAACAGACATTGGAATTAATGGAAGTTATGTTAATTCTCTTTTGAAGAAGAACCCAAACTAGCAATTGAGGAGCGAGTCCTAAAGAGAGTTATCTAAATTGTGATGAGTGTCAGGGTTTAGCTTTAATGCTAGTCACAGTAGGTGCTAGAATTCAAGTTGTATTTATTCAATAAAGTTTTTGCTGCATAAGTGTTTGGCTTCCCTTAGTAGATTCTGAACTCCTTGTGGCCAGGATATTTATGTTACTTGCAGTCTCAGCACAGTGCCTAGGAAATTGTGGACACTCAGTGCATTTTTGGCAATCAAATAAAAGAATATATGTTCCAGAAACAGGACAAAAGATCCTGTTTAAGGATTTCAGCCACCAAAGAGATTAGAAAGCAAGGTTGCAGTGCAGGAAGCATAGAATGCCCTGATGCTCGCTCGGGGTCGGAGTGACAGATTAGGGCAGATTATGGGTCTGGGAGGTTGTCATGGAGCTGAGGGAACATAATCTTAGTTATGACTAGTTTTAGGACCCGATAGAACTAAAACTGCTAATGTAGCCTGTTACCAAATGTAAGAGTGAAGCATTCCAAATTGTTTATAAGAAGACACGGTTGAAGACTTGAAAGATAGAGGAATCCAGTTACATTCAGTTTTTCATACAGTGAAAAATATTTCTGTCACTAGAAACTCAAATTTGGTATCAGAGACTGGAGGGAAAATATATTTGTAAATACATCATTTATATATATCCTTAAAAAGACAGTATCAAAATATGGCTTTACATTTATAACATTATAAAGTCATGATTGATCATATATGAACATAAAAATATGGCTTTACATTTATAACATTATAAAGTCGTAATTGATCATATATGAACATAAAATGTTTACATGAAGTAGATAGTTAGAGTGTAAGTCTAAAAGCCAAAGTGCTTATGGGCAATAATTAGTGTAGCTTTGAGGTTTGTCTTTTACTATTACTCTTTTGATGTTTATTAGCAGAAATAGTAAGGTAAAAAGCATATTTCAAAGTCTATATTAAGAATAGAAAACGTGCTAAAAAGAACAAAAGAAATTATGCTTTGTGTTCAACTAAACACTTTGTGTTGATACAGTGAAACTGCAAGGTAAAAACTTACACTTCTTGTTGGTTCCTTACTTAAGTCCAGATGCCACATGTGGCAGGAGGAGTAGCACAGGTTAGCAGTTGCTGCAAGGGTGATGTTAGGTAGACTTGACAGGCCTTGCAGTGATTTGGCATTAGCACCTTGTATTTAAACCCTCAGTAGTATGGCGGGCACCTGAAAAAAAGGTTGTTTAGAAAACTTCAAATGAGAGTAAGATCAAACCAAATGATTTCATGAACATTTATTTCCTCTGAGTTGAAAAAGATCGTATGTTGCTCTAGTTCTGCTACAAAGTTAAGATAGTGTGGAACTTTCCAGACTATGTTAAGAACAAACTAGTACCTGCTAAGCTATTTTAAAAACTTTTGCTTTGAAAAACACACATTTATATGAAGGTAAACAAAAGATTGTGTCTGGCAGAAGAGATATGATCAATAACACATATACCTGTTTTCTGGGAAGTAGGGTTTACCTGAGGCTTTTGTAGTATTTTCAGATTGCTCGTGTACATCTGCGTGCCTCTCAGTCTTGCACTTTCTCACTGTGCACACAAATGCGCACCCAGATAGAAGGGCAGACAGAAGCAGGCTTTTGCCTTTACTGTAAAAGAGCAATACCAGAGCAGGGCTTGCATGGTACTAACTCCCTACAGTTCTCTTTATCCTTTGCTTTCATGGGTGTGTATGGCTGAGTTCTGTCTGGGTGTAACATACTGTTTGGACATGGAAATGTCACTGTACATCACCCAGGGAGTGCTTATTTTCTTTTTCCTACTTCCTAACTCTTTATTTTAGCAACTTGCCATGTGAGTTTTAATTATGTAGCAATTTTGAGATATTATTGAAGCACTGTGTATTAACTAATGAAAGTTAAACTCATCATAAATCTTTTACATGTGAAATAACTTAGATACTTTGAGTACCAGTTTTTCTGCTCCTGTTCTGGATGTGTTAATGGTGGTTTAATTTTACCCTTTTGAAACCTAAGAGGAAATGGTACAGATCAAATCAGTGGGATCCTTCCTTGAGAATTTTGTCATCATAAATAAAATCTCAGAGAGAAAATGTTCTAAAGTGAATGGTGTTACATATTATCACCAGTCTTGATTTTCTGTGTGACAATTGGCTTTTGTTGTATGAATTTTTAGAAATAATCCTGTAATTAAGACTGCCATAAGGAACAAGCCAAAAGAAATAAACATATAACAATACTGTTTTTATATGGATAGACAATTGTATTGTTAAATTGTTCTGTGTATTTGTATACTAAAGACATTTAGAATACATCAGATATATTTTGCAGAGACTAACTTTTACACTATAAGTAGAGTTGGATGTGTTCTAGTTCAGCTTTGTGGTGAAGAACATAGCATGGTTCAAGTCCAGCTCTACCATTTATTGATCATGTTACCAGGAGTCATTTGACTTCTCTGAGCTCCAGATCTCTAATGTTTATTGGGGTATGACAAACCATAGAACCATAAGACTGCTTGGAGGATTAAATAAATTAATCAACTTAAAGAGCACATCAGACTATGTCTCGTACTCACCAAGTATTCAATAAGCTCTTGTTAATTTTTGCTGTTTTTTTGTTTTATACCTGTTTCTAATAGCAGTTGTTACTTAGCCTCTTGTTTCATTGGCAGTCTTAGTCAAAAGTAAAACTGAAAGTCTTTAGGAGTTCTTCATAGCCATGAAGTCAAATGCCAGGATTCATGTGGTAGGATGGGGTCCAGAACCACAGAAGTATATGGATAAAGGAGGGGAGACTGCTGAGCTGAAGACAAAACAACATGAACTTAGATTTGTGGGCATTGGGTATTTGCAATAATGCCCATTTGGAAAACATAGGGAATCATCCTCAATCTTAATCAACCAACATCTGTTCTACATCTCAGTGTCAATTCACTGTTTAATGTCCTTCTTGGTTTTCTCCAATATTGGCCCATCATTTTCCTGAGAAGAGTTTATTATATAGGGATTAATGTAAGACCTGTTGTCTTACAGAATTATCCTGATGACCATCAAACTGACTAGATACAAAATAACCCCACATTTTTTTTCACAGAATGATTCTAGTGTCAGTTTTTCTATTAGGCTTTGTATTAGTATTTTCAGGTTAGAAACACATGATCCTGGAGTTAACATTTTTGAAGTTTGCTTAAGGCTATTTGAGGCCTCCATTATCTACATCAGAAAGTTAATACTGCTCAGGAGAGCAATTCAGACCATCTCCAATTAAAAGTACTAAAATAGCAAAACTGTTTTTGTGATTCCCTACCCTGGGTTGGAAACTCTCATGCCCCAGTTATCTCAGTGTGGTGACATTGTCTACCCAGCCTCCACACCAAATTTCGTTTAAAGTCACTTTAAGAAAATAAGTAATTTGTATTTATTTTCCAAGTCTTCTAGTGAGAGATCCAGTTTATACTTTCCTTTGTGTAATTACATCTTTGGAATTTTGCAGGTAGATTTACAGACAAACATTTTATAAGCTCATATAGCAAAACAATACTAACTGTACTACATTGAGTTCACTTTGTGGGAACAGATCCCTTTAAAAGGACATCTCAATTCAGAGGATAATTAATGATTTAGGTTCATTTTAAAACCAAAAGTATTTTAAAAATATTTTTATTGGATTGAAAATAATATTAATATTGATTATTTTAAAAGTACTAATTGAAACTATTTTTTAAAAAATATTTTTACCTTACCTCTTTTTTGGGGTTTTGGGGTTAAAGTTATCTGTTTACTTATTTTTAAGTTGTAACATATCATTTCAAGGACATTTCACATTTAACTTTCATATTTTTGATGGAGATTTTCTGCCTGAAGGTGAAATACACTGTGGGCTCAAGTCAGTTTCTACTCAAGGTTTTTAGTAAAGTGTTTGGCATTTTTGATTAGTTTTTTTTTTTAAGGTCATAAAAAAAAAAAAAGTGGACAGTCATAGTAGCTGGAAGTCAGTCACTTGACTTCCTGTGACAGGTCCCCTTTAATCCTCACAGGGTTTTAAATCTGTTCTGAAGCACACATGCCATCTTGCCTCCCTGAGCTGAATGATGCCAATGAAGGATATGTATAGCACTGATTTCTTTATTTGTTTTCTTTATGAAGTAGTTAATTTATCTGAAAAGAAACATAGAGTAAATGTAAAAGTATACAGTGAAAAGTCAGTCTCTTCTTGAGTTCTTCTCATGAAACCCACAATTATGTGTTGTTTTCAGGATCATTAAAATTGAAAGTGTAATTATTGTTTTTATATATATAGTTGGTAGTATAAATTTTAACCTTTTTAAAAGAATAGTGGAATAGGGAGGAAAGAGTTCAAACTCTTCAAGCTAAGTCAGAGTCATAAATATTTAAAATTTAGCCCAAAAGGGTTTCATATATTTTCTAAGAGGGAGCATAAATACAATGGGAAGAAAGATAGGGTTCAGAAAATAGGACCATCTGCTCCTTATGAAGGAAATGTACTTTAATAAACAAAGAATATAGATGTGGTACAACAGAATTACTACTTCCTCAAATTGCTGGATAAGCTAATGTACACTTACTGAATAAATGAGTGTATGTTAGTGAAAATCGATGGGTGAGTAGCAAGAGGATACATTTAGTAGTACCATATTCTTCTTCCTCTTTATAAAGTACCGCAGAGAATTCATCGAAAGAACTTGAACAGAATTTCTCATTTTTTCTTGTGGTAATAGGCAGTTGTTATAATAGGGTCAGAATTTTTTGGTAAAAGATACTATTTATATAGGCTGACTTGCTCTACTTTTATAGAGCTTGGGCAGTAAGGAGCAATGAAACATAAATCCTAAACAAAGGGTAGTTAGTAATATTCTGAAAGTAAACACTGGTCCATGTGATCATATTCTGATTAAAATAAACAGAAGTCAGTTAGGAATATTATTGTGGTTTAGAAAAAGTGTGTTTCCTCTTCCCATTTTTATTTGCTTTTGATGGTAATTACTATTAAAGGTATATTGAGTAATGTATATTTTTTAACATTTAGCCAACAACAGCAAAGGCATCAAGATCCAAAGTGTACTGGACATGCTTACTGTAGAAAAAGATGCTGGATTTGACACTCTTCACACAGATCTTAACCACCTGAGAGAAAGGATGAGGAAGGAGATTAAACATCATTAGGAGAATAGGGTTTGTTGAAAGTCTTAGGATATTATGGAGAACATTACCACCACCAAGGAACAGAAAAAGTGTTTTAGAAATAAATCGAGGTGGGAATTTGAAAAGAAAGGAAGAGCTTTTGCCCAGTGGGAAATATGACTGTTTTTGACTCATGTTACCTACACTGTTTTGTTTCATAGTTAGATAAAGAACATAAACAACACTGAAGAAAAATTGTAAATACCAGTGGATTTATTTAGTGATTAGAACAGTTGGAAAGTTTTTTCTAATTATTTTGTAAATGAATAGCTGACTGTAACTTTAAATTCATGGCACTTTAAAAAATGAAAAACAGATAAAGAATGGAAACTTGGACTTCCAAGTTCACAGCTTATCAAAGTCCTAGCCTTTCATTTTATCTGTGCTCTACTAAAGAAAGGTTTTACCCTTTCTACAAAGTCTAGAGGACTTGGAAAGGGTGGATTATAATTTCTGACTAACCTATTAATCAGTCTAATAATAGAATTTTTTCCCCTGTTTTTCATGGTAGTCCATCTTGAATAATAAAATCACATAGCACACAACATATTTCAGGAAAACTGAGATGATGCTTTGAAAAAGAAAAACACTAAAAAATGGGCCGGTAAATGTTTCATCTTATGCTACAGTTTTATTGCTCATTTCTCAGTGTGTATGAAGAAAGTTAGTGGAAATGACCTTGAGGTTTATAGTTTTGATAATTCAGGATAGAGTGTTGCACTTTGCCAAAATAAGAAATACACTTTCATTTTAGGGAGAATAAACATTGGCAATATAATTTGGTTTTGGGTGTTTCAATTTACAGAAAAACACCAGAAGTCATTTGCAATCAGAATAGCAGGCTATCAACAAAGGCAAACAAGAAGACATTCAGGAAGGAGGTAGTTAATGGTGCCAAAGCTGCAAAAAAACAAGAAATGAGAAAAGCATCATGACGCTGACAGTCAAAAGACACAAGTAACCTTTGAAAGCAGTTTGAGTAGAATTGGGAGGAGTAGAATCCAGACTGCCAACCCAATTCCAAGAAGATGAGTCACTAGTGTGTTGGGATCTGTGATGAGGACTCAACAAGTTTAGGCAACTCTAAAAAAATTCAGCAATAAAAAGAAGGGAAGTGGGTGTCATTTGGAGAATGCAGCACAGATTAGTGTTGAAGAACAATGGAATCCATGTTTTTCTTACCAGGGGAGGGTACAAGAATGGGTAGAGGGAAAGAATGAAGAATCTTTAAATAGGGATAATGAATGAAGCTATATTTTAAAGAATTGGAAAACAGTCAGAAAAGTGGATTACAGAGTTTGGGCCTGAGAATAAGCTAAACCACACACTTCCTGGGAGACAGAGGTGCAGGAGAAGCTGCTTAGCTTAGTGTTAGTAATCCTTAACACTGCCTCTCTGTACCTGAGTTTCCTCATCCTTGTCTGGGTGATCCACTGCCTTGTGTCTATTCTCCTTTGTGTACTGCACTTTGCTTGCCTTACAGTTCCCCCTTGACTGCATTTTGTGAGGGTGGAGAATGTTTGTCATCCAAACATGCTGTCTGTTGGTGTGCTCTCGTGTCTTTCAGTAACCTTCAATGCTAGCAGTTTGGGGATTTGGGTTTTGTAGCCCCTGCATAACCATCATAGTATAAGACTGAAGTCTATTTAGCTGCCCAAGTGAACTTCAAAAAATTGTTTCCAAAACAAATTATTAATTTCAAATGGAGGAACAGGTTATTATATCAAAACTTTTTTTTTTCTGGCTAGGAAAGTTATGACATAACAAAATGTAACGACTCAGAATTGGATACTTCTGAAGCCAGATAAGAATTTTAGCCACAATTCATTGTACAAAGTGGAAACATTTGATTAAAAAAGAAAATAATTATGATAAGATGAAAGTTTGCAAAGCAAATAGTTGGTAAGTGCTATTTATATCAGCCAAATAAATTGGATTATGTAATTAACTTTGATCAGCACTCTAGTGGGCGCAAATCCCTTGCTTAGAATAGTTGTACTTTCTGATTGTTTCATAGCAAAAGTAATTAATCAAAAATTAAAAGCTAAAGGTGGTTTTTGCCCTAATGGCTGTGACTTATTTTTTGCTGTACATTAAAAGTTTATTAAAGTTTTATTGAAAATGTAATTTCACAGTTGGGATGCTATTTCTCACATCTTGACTGTTTTGTGCCTATACACACATGGCATAGCAGTACTAAAAGTGCATTTTTGTGTATAAGCATGTGGGGGAGGGGGTTTAAGATAGTGGGTTAGAAAGACAGACTTCTGGTGTTTAATTCTGGCTTTAGTAATTAATTGCTGTGTGATCAGATGCAAGCTACTGTAAAACTCAAGTTGTCTCGCTTGTAAATCTGGGCTGCTTCAAACATTTCCTAGGAGTGATTTTTGAGAAATTTAAAGGCAGTGAAGCACTTAAAGCATGGAGACAGGTTCCTTCATACAGTCAGACCTCATTAACTGTTCTTGCTCTATTTTCAGAGATTCAAAAGTCCTTAATAAACATGTAACACTGCTTCATGCATATAAGCTTTACCTCTGTTAATCCTCTTTCTTTATTTTTACATAAATACTAATATTTCATTTTTTAAAAGAGTAGAATTTCATAGACTTAGACTATCATTTTTATGGTTTATAGTCAACATTATAGTTGAAGTGAAAAATTGTAGCTATTTTAATTCCTAAATTGCATAAGGTATAAAGTTTGTAATTTTAAACACTTGCTTTTTATTCTTTCTGAAAATTCTCTTATTTCTCTTCAAAATTAGTAGAAAATGAAAAATAGAAGGCCAGATTATAATGACAACTTTCACATATTCATCCTTTTACTCACTTATAAAGCTGATTGATCATGACTGCTGTGCAAAAATGCACAAAAATAGGCATATATGTACTTCCTTTTAGATGTTCCTTGGAAAGTGCAGGATATTCTTTGAGTACATTGGAATTGTAAAATGAAGCACATTTTTGCCCTTCCTTGCTCTTTAGTATAGAGTTTGTTCTCCAGCCTCCCTGGGGTTTTTAAAGCACATTCATTCTGTTATTCACATTCCTACCTTTACACTATTTTATCTTCTTGTTAAGAACCTTTTCCATCCTTGTTTTCTTAATGAGTACTTGTCCTTTTAGACTCAACACCAGAAATGGCTCTCCTGGGAGCCCCCTTGTTCCTTCATTCCCTAGATGGGTGAGAGATGTCCCTATAGCATCCCACTTGGGTTTCTACTGTAAGCACCTCCCTGAATCCTTTGAGAAGGACTGTGATCCTTAGGTCTGGATCTGCAGTGGCTAAATACTCACTTAGAGGTATTTGAATTGCCTCCTTCCAGAATTGCTTTTTGTTTTTTGACAATAGGTTTTATCCTTATACATAAAGACATAGACTTTTTGGATTATGTAGCATGCTATTAATTAAACTTGTTTAAGTCGGCTTTATAATTAGTAACTTATAAAAATATAGCAGTGATGTATAGTAATAAAGTTAAACATAGACACACTTAAACTATATAAGATATAAATTTTAATCTTTCATATGAAAATCTCAGGGTAAGCTGTCCAAACTTAGTGGCTTATCCCAACAAAGGTTTCTTTCTTTCTTCTGTAATGTCAGTGGTGCACTCTCATTCAGTGATTCAGAGATCTAATTCTTCTTCTTCTCCTCCTCTCATTTCAACTTGTGATTTCCAAAGTGGTGGAGGCTGTGACGGGGGGGGGGGGGCAGAATATTGGCTTCTATTCATCTCTGCTCAGAAGTCAAGCCATGCTTCAGTTCCCTTGGCTAGACTTATATGGCACCAACTTAACCCAAGAAGAGACTGGAAAAGAAAGTCTTTTGAGTGCTCTGGCAGAGGAAACAGAAATTGACCTGAATGCTCTGTATTTTGTTTTCTCTTTTGTGTTCCAGTTTTTCTTGTGGGGTGCGGGCTTGATGAAGTATGTGGATGTTATGGAGTACATGCCACTGGGTGAATTCAAGTGTAAAGCATTAGCTGTAGTTCTTGTCATAACTCAGGCATATTAATTACTAAAGAATTGTCTCAGTAGATCTGAGTCTTTTTTTACTTATGCTCTATTTTCAGAAACTGAGGATATTACAAAACATACCATGCATCAGCATTAACACCAAATCTGACAGCCCATCTATAACCCACCAAAATGTCCACTATAATACTCCTCAGAGCACTTGGTCTATGCTACATTGATACTATCACATTAGAAAAAATGATAGTAATCAGTATTAACATAAATTTTACCAGGCCATTGCTGAGTACTAGGAGGCTTTTCAAAAACATTGGGGTTTAGTTCCTCAGTTTGAGTGGAAGAGGCAATTTGGTTATTACCTAGATGTAGATCAATTGAGGGAGAAAATGAAGACAATGTTATTGATGAAAGCATAATCAAGAGTAGGCGACTGAGTGCTCAACAGTCGCTTTCCTTCACGGCCTCTTGCTAGTCTGTCTATCTGTGGTATCGATGATAAATGAGTTAAATTCTTCATGTGTTTTATGACTGTGTTGTAGAAATGTCATTGATTTGCTATGAAAATATATATCTGAGTTTGGGGATCATCAGATTAATGACACTGCAGAAGATTTCCACAGTTTATATCTGTATTCAGAGTTTCTTCATTCTTTAAAATGATAAAGAAAGTATCTTTTATAAGTATTTCACTCTAGTTTTACATTTTTAATCATATGAAAAAGTTTGCTTTTTAAAACCTTTGTTTTATAAAGGATAAAACAAACACATGTTGCTGTAAGAGAAGTTGTTAATACTTACCAGAGTTTAGGATTACTTCCTTTCAGAAATAAATATAATTTTATTTTATAGGAGAGGAAATTGAGGTTATTTAAATGATTCTTTTCCAAAAGCATTTAAATTGTTTTCTCCAAGTCTTTGTCTGTCATTTTTTTATCATTTTCAGCAGTTTTCTCAGTGGATTATAATTATTTTGAGAAAAGCCTTCTCATCTCACTGGACATGGGAACTACCAAGAAGCAAAAATTCTGTTATTTATTAGTTTTGCTCCAGAGTTTGGCACCTTTTCTTTGCAGAGTGTATGCTTCTTGAATGAAAGAATGAGGAAACAATTAAGTGGAAATACAAGGAAAGAAGAAAAAATGAGACTCAGTCCCTGCCTAAATGTCTGAGAGGCAAAATAGCATCAAAGTTTGGTGCTGGGACCCAGAGCTGTGCTTCCTTGGTCCAAATGCCAGGTCAACCTTATGCTACCTCAGTGAGCCTGGTGGTAACACTGTATATCTTACAGGATTGTTACAAGAAAAAAATGACTTGCTGTGTCAAATGCCTGGAATAGTACCTATGTCCGGTTTAATTTTTCTTTCAACATTTAAGCTCCAAGGATTATGTAATTAGGACATCAATATTTAAATTTTAAACTAAAATAAAAATGAGTAATATCTATTGATGGAATGAAATGAAGCAAAATATTTTGAACTTTGGTTTATTACTATGTATTTGATAATCCTAAAAATTGATGCTATATTTGCGTTTTAGCTTTAGTCTAAAGTATTTGAATTTAAGCTATCATGAAGCTTAAAAGTACCTACATTTTATAAGGTTACAGAATTAACCAGATCTTCCATATTTTATTTTCTTTCATTGTCAAATTAGTATTTGATTAGAAAAATGCAATTTTAATTAGATTCGGTGTGTATAATGCTGCTGGACTAAACCAAGTTATTAGATGTCGTACAAAGTTTAGATGGATATAGTGAATATCAGCATTCATCTGTTATACCATTGAAGAGTAAACATTTCAAAATTAATCAATTGTGAAATTATCTGTTAAATGTGACTTTTTCCACAAACATTATTTAATCTTCCTGCAAATGTCAGTGTTTTAAAAGGTAAAATAAAAATAAAAATAACAGAGTGGAGAAACAACATAAGATATCATGTGTTTTATCACCTGTTGTCTTGAGTTCTCCCAGAATACAAGTTTGCCACCATGGAGCTTGTTGCTTTGGGGCCATACCTGTTGTACCAAAGTGAATTGATATACATCCATCACTGGGTGTGGCCCATGTAGCCCTGTACCCTACCTGAGCACAGAGAAGAGGAAAAGAACCAGCCTTTTTTTTTTTTTTAAAGGATATACAAAAAATTGCTTTTGGCTTCAGTTTTATGAAGTGTTTTTTTCTGAGAAGAAGCAAGATTTCTAGAATGGTGTGAAGTGGAAAAGGCGTCTGTTTTTATTTGAACTGTGTACTTGGTGATCTGCCATACTAGAACAGTGTGGGTTAGAGGTAATCATGATTAATCATTTGTTTTCATGACTTTATGAAACTTTTCTTATTTGTTAAGATGTATGGCAAGAAAGAGTCATCTCTCTAACTTAGGTTTTATAGACACAATTTTTATCATCTCAAACTAAAATTAATAGATATCACAGCACATTGGTTTTGTTTTTATTTTTTTTTAATAAGACTGCTTAGAGAATGTTCTTTTCTGAGATTGTCCTTCAGTTTTCCCAAGCCAGCAGCAGCGTTAAACTTTGTAAGTTAAACCAGTTGACCCTTATAAAATATCTTGACCAATATCTGTTCCTCAAAATGAACAACTGAATTTTAGAATGTGTGACAGAGGCGAGAAACCCATTGAGAAGTCCAGGTTTGGTGAAAAGTTGCCCTTAAAAAAACTCTGATTTTAGAAAGACATACCACCCTCCCCATCCATCCCTGTCACCCTTTGGGCTGAGCAGGTCACCCATGCTTGCTCTCCTGATGTAGAAGTGGCGCACTCTGCCAGCTATGTAACTTCAAGTGTATGCTACTTGGCAAATTGAAATTGTCTATGGAATAAAATAATGTAATATACCTTTAGATCCTTATTGTAGAAATAATGTTATTTTTTAAGATTGCAGAAACACAGTTACTTTCGTTCTGTATGAAAAGGTGTATGTGTGTGTATTGCATGTGTGCAGTTGTGTGTTTGTACTTACAAAGAACATGCAAAGCCATACATTTTCCCTATAATATTGCTGTGCTTATAATCCAGATTGTGGTGTGTCCTGTGGTGGGGAAGCCATCTAGGAATAGCAGACCTAATTCTGAGACCTAGACTCTATATGTGCTAATGCAACCCTTGGGCTTCACTTTTCTCATTTCCCTCTGTTCCCCCCTACCCCTTTTCTTCCCTCCCATCCCCTTCTCTCTGTTTTGTTCTCTCAGCATTACTGGCATTTGAACTCAGCACTGCTAGCTTGCAAGCATTCTGCTACTTGAGCCACTCCCACAGCCCTAATTCCTTCATTTTTAAAACAAAGATCATTCAGGCTGCTGGGAGGATATGATTGTAGAGAGCCCAGTGCTCAGTGTATACTGAACTTAAGAATGGTTGCTGTGGTTAGTAATGTTATTATGGATTATTCTTCACAGTGACACAAGGACACAGGCTGGAGACAACCTTCAGAAGCCCATGATTATACTCAAGACCATTGCCATTCATTAATTATTTCATCCTTGACCAGATATTTCACATCTTAGGGCTGGCTTTCTGACTTCCAAAATAAGGTAGCATCTGTCTTGATTATTTCAAATGACTGTTTCAAAAGGGTTATAAAAAAGAAAATAATAATGTGTTGTGTAAATATAAGCAGTGGTAGTCTCTCATGCTTTCTTTGTATTAGGTTTCCACCCCTGAAGGGAGTCTTTTTGGTACAGGGACATCAGTTTGCGTTGTGTTGGAAAGATGGTTAAATATGTTTGTTTCAGTAATTGGTTAACTGTAGTTCTGAAGGTTGGAGGTTTGGGGTAGAGCAGGAGAAAGCATGTGTAGACAACATTGTCAGGGAAATTGAATCTCAGATGGTGCTTGTTTAATTTTTCCCACCTCATTCTTCTTCAAGCTAATGCTCCCCCAGGACTGTGGCTGAGCCTGGTATATTTGTGAATGAAGTTACTGATTAGGGAAATCTAAGCTTCAATGAGATGACATAAAATGATCAAAACAGAGAGCTGGAGAGTTAGAAATAAGGTTGGCTCAACTCATGTGTCATTGGTATAGCAGGCCATGGATGTTGGCAGAGAAAGGAGGAGAACTCATTGAGTTGAGAAATGTGGGGTCTGTGGAACAGAAAACACCTGAGAAATTGAAAGTGAAGACAGAGTGTATGTGTGTCTATTGAGAAATGAGTATTCTTACAGGCTTATTTAAAGAAAAAAGGATGTGTTAACTTTAGAATACTGAATTTTATATACTGCATTAGTGAAGATAGCTTCTGGCATGCTATGAAGAGTCAGATGTGAATGGAGGAAGAATCATTAAACTTAAAAATGTTACCTAAGAAGCTCTAAATCATGTAAAAGTTATTCATGACTTTTAAGTAGTCATTATCTTTGATTCTTGATATATTTTACTAAGGCTAAAATATAAACAAATTTCTTGATGAAGGTAGTGATAGTAAGTTAAATCACCAGCTTTGTAAGAATTGTATAGCCCTGACTACTGAACTAAGAAAAAGAGTAAGATTGAAAAAAAGGAAGAAAGAGGAAAAAAGCAGATTAGAAAATACCTTGTGGTATTTGAATGACTCATGAGGATAAAACTGAAGAGGGCAAAAGATATTTGAAAAATAGGTCCATTCACTTTTAAATATCCAAATTCATTTTGTTTTAAGTTGTTTTAAGATTAATGAATTGAGATAGTTTCAGTGACAGCATGCTGAGTTTTTTTATTCATAATGATAAAACACTTTGCTTCTTTTCTGATTGTGGGTAGAGGATTGCATGAATTATGCCTTTTCTGTCAAAGGAATTGAATAATCCACATAAATTAATCCCTGAGTTACCAAAGATAGCATCAATTTTTAAACTAATACATATATTAGAGAAAGGTTTCAGTTGCTTAAAAGTACATCCACAAATATATTTGATTAATTGTCCTTGAAGGGAAAACAATTGAACTCAATGTAAAATTAGATTTCCTACTTAAGAGCAGTGACTATTCTTCTGGAGACTAAAATGTTATATTGCCCGCATAACATAATTTAAGCTCATACACGTATTCTGTCATTTGACCTCAATTCCATGTATAAGCAAGAAATGGTTTTTGCTTCCTTTGCTTACATTAGCAGAAACTATATATATTTTGACCTAGTCATTTGGGCAGGACAAATTACACTGCAAGTTTCAAATAAATTTATTTACAAGAGATACCCAAATTGATTCGCTTGCCAACAGATTGCTGAACTAAATTCCTAGGAAGAATCTTCATTTTTTATGTAATTTTTATTTACAATACTATTCAAATCAAAATTTCAGTTATTTATCACTAGATGATGGGATACAGAACACCTTGGTTCATCAGATTTGCTGATTTTGATGGTGTAAATACATTGTTACTGATTTCAAGTTAGGAAAGTGAGGCCACTGAAAGTGGAATTGAGAAAGGATGCCTCCAGAGGGGTCAAGTAGAAAGCTAAGGGATCACCCTAGCTACCTCAGTGGAGTTTGTGAATGTGGTTACTATATGTGAGCATAGATGCTCCAAGCCTCCTCTTCGGTTCAGATAGAAAAGTCCTCAGTGACTCATCCTGATTTAAAAGGGTAGAACAGAGTCCAGACATTAAGTAAGTCCCTGTTTTGCAGTGCCTGCCTCTGCGTCATTAGCACTCAGACCAGCCTCATGCTATAAAACTGAAAGAAGAATAATATACAAACATATTCCCAAGGGAGGCTTAGAAAATTATAATCTTATTACCTCTTGAAAACATTACCCTTTTTCCTCTTTGTTCAACTTTTCCCAGGAGAGCTGCTTGTAAAGTCTTCAGTAGGGTCTTCCTTCTTTTTAATGGCAAACAAGTGCCTTAAAGGGCCCTAATGATTTCCTTCCTTCTGATACCACTCTTCAGACACTTTTGTAGTATCTTCACACTAACAGGTGTTAGTCTGAATTTACAATCAGATTAGTTTGGATTGGTCTTGGTCTTCCTCATTCCCCCAGTGTATCTTTCACACTTATTTGAAGCAAAGGTAACTGCCTTGTTATACCAATTATAGCAAAAGTCCACACCTATATCCCTCGTGGTTAAGATTACTGGTGGCTGAAAATGATACGCACATCCCATAATCTCTGGAAATAGAAATGCACATGTTAGTATTTTTTAATGAAAGAACTTGATAGGCACAAAGCCCTCCTGGCTTAAGTGATTTAGGTCATTCACTCAACTTGGTATCCCCTTTCCCCTTCCTTTCCCTGTGTCTGTCCTTTTATACTTGTCCCAGGAATCATCCTTTCAATATCTCCCTTAATTAGCCTTCTCTGCCCTCCAGGCCTAATTGGGTGTTCTTCCTTTTCTTCTCCTTAGTGCTCCCATTGCATTATATATGCTTCAATAAGTATTTCTACATTTTTTATTTTGAAAAATTTCAAACTAGTACAGTAAATACCCATATACCATTCATTTAGGTTTGCCAATTTTGCACACATTTTTTTGTTTTTCTCTCTCCCTCTCAGTGCTGGGATTGGCCTCACACATTGCTAGCTGGGTGCTTTACCACTGAGCTGCGTTCCCAGCGTGTTGCATTTTTAATGTATAACATGCATATTTACAAATATCTGTGTGCTCAGACTTCTTTTTCTGAATCCTTGAAGGAAATCAGTGTCCCACACCACTACTTTTGTTAGTCACCCACTACTTTTTTACACAGATCCTGCTATTTTTAGATTAATTATACTGCACAATTTTTGAGATTTATTTCATGACAAATAATTATGAAACAACTGCTGTGTAACAGACACTGAAGTCGAAACTTGAAGTTCTCAGTGTGCAGACAGCCTGACTATAGGATGTTTGTGTGTGTGTGTGTGTGTGTGTGTGTGTGTGTGTGTGAGAGAGAGAGAGAGAAAGAGAGAGAGAAAGAAACATGACAGGATCATAAGAGGGAGAAAATGTTACATTTGAAAGCAGAGAAAAGAGCTCCTATATCCAGATCTGTGGAAGTACCATCATTCATCCATTTATTGATTCATCCAGTCACTACCATGTATCCTTTACTCTATGTTAGGCTCTGTGTATACACAACTGAGATTCTGAACCTTTAAAGAACCTGATCTTAAGTAGGGGACTGAGAAGATCTTCAAAGAATACAGTGGAATGTGATTGTTGATGAGAACTGGATACTTTGTATACAGAGGAAAGGGAAACAGGGAGTGTGCCTGAGTATTTCTGGTAATGCTTGGGTGGTAATTTTCAGGATAAAGAGGAGTAAAGTAGGCAGGTAAAGACTGAGAAAGCACACTTAAACTGAGACATCAGTATATTTTAAGCGGAAGAAACCTGAAAGAATATAGAATGTTCCAGGAACTGGTAGAAGTTTAATGTAAGGGGGTGGCAAATGCTAAGAGGCAGTCGTGAGAAAAGGGAAGGCACAGGGCTACAGGCTTAGGTCCAGGCTGTGAGGGACCTTCTGAGTTCAGATTAACAGTTTGAAAGCCATGAGACACCAGTGAGCAATTCAGGTGGGATTGTGACAGATACTAGATTTGTGTTTAAATAATCTTACTCTGAAGAAGACTTTGACAATGATTGATCTTGATATTTTTATTTTGGGGAGATTAAATCTCTCTTTCATAGGAAGCTAGCTGTTATATTAAAAGTGATTCAGAGACAGATTTAGGTAATTGTTGTACATTCAATAAATTAACCAAATAATGGATGCCTCAGCCGGTTTCTCTCACCTAAGAATTTTATTTTCTTTCAGATTTTTTTTCCACAGGAAAGCAACATCTAATATTAAATATATTACTTGCAGCAAGGAGATAGTAGTTTCTTCAGCTAACATTAAGAGAGGGTGGGAGGGAGGAGAGAGGAAAAAGGAATAATTGTACAGCTGGATTTGTAGGATACTGGGATGTCATTTAAATCTTTTTGTTGTTGCAAAATTTTTTGTTGAGTAAATGAGTAGGAATTAATCAATGAAAACATGAGAGTGAGTCTGAGACTTCATAACTGATGCAGTGTTATGTTTATTGAACCAATTAAGCCTGATTGACATGCAGATTGCAGCAGCTCTGACACTGCACCCTTTGCTCACAGCACTGAGGTTCTCTGCTTCTTCAGTTCAGGTCCACTGGCAGGATCAATGAGCTGCAGGAATCTTGTCAGAGATAGCATTACTGGGGTTGCTTATGCAGATATAAAATTATATGACATAAAATCAAAAAAGTTACCTAGCTATTGGTTTTAACAAATTATATTTGTTTTATACTCCCACAAATAGTCAGATAGCATAGGTTACACTTGCAGTTTATTGCCTCAAAAGAGCCTGTCAGTTTGATTTCTGAAGGATATAAAGTTACTAAGTTGCCTTGCAGTACTGGGTTCCTCAGCTGAAACACCTATTAGTATTTTGGATCTCATAAGTATTTGTGGGAAGGGGTTGTCCCTTGCATTGTAGAGTACTTATCATCCCTGGTCTCCATCTACTCCACTCCACTAGCATTTCTGCCCCACCTCCAGTTGTTATACCAGACAAGTCTAGATGCCCTCTGGAGGGCAAAGGTACCCCTTCTTGAGAAGCACAGGTAGATACATTTATGAGTTAGGAAAAATAGTAGTTCAGTTACCCTTCCCATAATGTATATTTATTCATTTCTAAATCCATGAAAATACCTATATACTACAAGTATATAAAACATGTAAAACAAATGCATGTTTCTCAATATTACACACACATACATATATATATAGAGAGAGAATGGTTTGGAACTTTGAGTGCTCAAAGTTAGGGAATATTTCATAGAATTAACAAGTCTGAAATACTTGTTGAATTTTTGTCTTAGACCAGTGTTAAACTGTTTCTAGCCATCCTTTTTTCTTTTGGACTTATTACCATGTTAATTGTACAAATTAATGGGTTTCACTGTGATACTTCTATACACCATGCATTGGTCATGTCTATCCACCGTTATTTTCAGTAAACACCTAGGAAGTGCTGTGTGCCAGGCATTCTGGTGCTAAACTAAGGGCTTTCACTACAAGGTTTTGTTTATTTTGTAAACAGTCCTATTCAAACAGGTATTGGTAGCCCTATTTTAGATTGGAAAAATCTAAAACTTAAAGTCTAAACACAGATCATAAAGCTAGTTCATACTGGAATTAAAGATTGGGTCTTCATGCTATAATTATTTCTGGTTTGGGGGAATTCTTTTGTTCTGTTTCTCTTTTTTGGCTCTGGGTGTCAGACACAGGGTCTCGAACATATTAGGCAATCACTCTCCCACTGAGTTACATCCTCAGCCCTACAGTCATTTCTTTATTTGATATATTCAACATGTACCTACAGTGTACCAGGTACTTTTTTTCTGTTGAGAAAATGTCAGTACCTGCTCTTTTGTAGATAATATCTTCAATAGATCTTCATATTTCATTATTTTTCATACTGTTTCTGAACCAAATTAAGATCGAGATTAATTCATACACAGCCCAGAAAATGTAATTTATGTATATATAGTAGCCATATTTCATCAAAACCTTTCTCCTAAAAAGTATATTGGGTAAGTAGATTTTTTTGTTCCCACAATATGTTACAAATTTAACATTCCCTTGTTCCTCATGTACAATTCCTGGAATACAGTTGCTTCTTTCTGTAATTTGGCCAAATAACCTAGAAAATAGAGACTACTAACTGCCTGTATTTTACAGCCTAATTTGTAATATCTTTGTTTGGCAGTGCCTGCATCTTTTATGTTTAAAATTCCTTAAGACAAGGACATCTGTACACAATGTAGCTCTAGTGTGACTTACAATAACTTTGTGTTTTTGTTATCTCAGTGAGAGTTCACTCGCAAGGAGACAATGCATCCTTTGTAACTACTAGTAAAACACTGCACAGTATGACATGTGTAGCATATGCACAGAGTAATGGAAGTCAGAAAGGATAAGTTCAGTGTCTGCTTGTTACCAGTCCAGAAATCCACTTCCATCAGACTTGGTGTGGAAGATAGGAGAAAATTTACTTGTGAATGACAAAATTTCATTCTTCTTTGTGGCTGTGTAAAATTCCATTATGTATAAATACCACATTTTCTTCATCCATTCATCAGTAGTGGGGCATCTTGGCTGTTTCCAGAACTTGTCTATTGTGAACAGTGCTGCAATAAACGTGGGTGTGCAGGTGCCTCTGGAGTAACCTTAGTCACATTCCTTTGGATATAGCCCCAGTAGTGGGATTGCTGGATGATATGGCAGATACATGTTTAGTTTTTTAAGGAGCCTCCATATTGTTTTCCAGAGTGGTTGTACTAGCTTACATTCCCACCAGCAGTGTATGAGGGTTCCTTTTTCCCCTGTATCCTTGCTAACATTTGGTGGTAGTGGTGTTCTTGATGGTAGCCATTCTAACGGGTGAGGTGGAATCTTAGTGTGGTTTTGATTTGCATTTCCTTTATGACCAAGGATGGTGAGCATTTTTTCATATGTTTTTTTGGTCGTTTGGATTTCTTCCTTTGAAAAAGGTCTGTTTAGTTCAGTTGCTCACTTCTTTATTGGTTCATTGATTTGGGGGGAGTTTAGTTTTTTGAGTTCCCTGAATATTCTGGTTATTAGTCCTTTGTCTGATGTATTGCCAGCAAATATTTTCTCCCACTCTGTGGTCTCTTCAAGTTGTTGTGCAGAAGCTTTTTAATCTCATGTAGTCCCATTTGTCCATGCTTTTAGTTGCTAGGCTGATGGAGTTCTACTGAGGAAGTCCTTGCCTATACCTATTGTTTCCAGGGTATTCTCTGCTCTTTCGTGTACTAACTGCAAGGTTTCAGGTCTGAAATTAAGGTCCTTAATCTACTTTGAGTTGATACTAGTACAGGTTGACAGGCACAGATCTACTTTCAGTTTTCTGCAGGCAGATAACCACTTTTCCCAGCACCATTTGTTGAAGAGACTGTTTCTTCTCCATTGTATGTTTTTGGTGCCTTTGTCAAAAATATGGTGGGCATAGCTGCATGGATTCATATCCGTGTCCTCTGTTCTGTTCCACTGGTCTCCATATTTGTTTTGTTCCAGTACCATCCTGTTTTTATTGCTTTGGCTCTGTAGTATAGTTTGAAGTCAGGTATTGTGATACCTCCAGCATTGGTCTTTTTGTTCAGTATTGCCTTGGCTATCTGTGGTCTTTTGTGTTTCCAAATGAACTTTAGGGTAGATTTTTCAATCTCTATGATGAATGTCATTTGAATTTTTATGGGTATTGCATTGAACATATAGATTACTTTTGGTTGTATAGACATTTTTATTATGTTGATTCTACCAATCCATGAGGATGAGAGATTTTTCCATCTTCTGTAATCTTCCTTTGATCTCTTTCTTTAGTGGTTTGTAGTTCTACTTGAAGAGGTCATGTCCTTTGTTAAGTTTATTCCTAGGTATTTAATTTTTTTGAGGCTATTGTAAATGGAATTGTTTTCCTATATTCTTTTTCAGCTTGTTCATTGTTGGTATATAGGAAGGCTGCTGGTTTTTGTAAGTTGATTTTGTATCCTGCTACATTGCTGAAGCTGTTTATGGTGTCTAGAAGTTCTTTGCATCTTTGAGGTATAGGATCATGTCATCTGCAAATAGGGATCTTTTGACTGTTTCTTTACCTATTTGTATTCCTTTTATTTCTTCTTCTTGCCTAATAAGGCAATAACTCTGGCTAGAAATTCCAGGACTATGTTGAATAGAAGTAGAGAGAGTAGGCACCACTGTCTCTTTCCTTACTTTAGGGGAAATGTTTTCAGTTTTTCCCCATTAAGTATGATGTTGGCTATATGTTTGTTAGATATAGTCTTTATAATGTTGAGGTACATCTTTGGGAAATTCTTCAGATAAATTTAGATACTTTGCACTACCAACCTTAGAATGGCTGCACATGACTTATTTAGAAAGCATTTAAGTATGCTAGAAATTTGAAATGGATTCAGGTCTTATCTTAGCAAACTCAACACTTACACCATATATATTGAGGTAAGTTTTCTAATGAATTATTCAAAATCTATATTATCAATAATTAAAATTTGAAAGTAATATTATTTTCTGTAAGATGTTTTCTGATAATTTCATCATTGTATAATCCATTTTATTGTATGGTTAAGTGAAAAGTTATTGCTCAGTTTAACTATTCTACTTACATTTTAGTAAGGAGCCAAATGTTTAAATATTTGCTACTTCAACATTGCTTCATAACAAGGCAAAGCAACTTACATATTAAAATTGTCATTATGTTTTTCTGTTTAAAATCTTAAAACTTTTCCATTTTTAATTTGGCATTTCAAATCCAGTATATGTAGCTGAGCCTTGAAGTTCAGTTTATCTTCCCTAAGTAATACAGAGGTTGCTGGCAAGATGCAGTAGAGGTTAAGTTGGTGGTGTTTCCATCTAAGTTGCTTTTTTTCCCCAAAAACTCTGATTTCTGAGAATGGAATTGGGAAGCCTTTGCTTAGTTTTACTTTTTGTCTTAATATAAGTTTGTGAACAACTCATAGACTCTGACATTAGTGTAAATGGAATGGCGTTAACATTTTATTTGTTAAATATCATTTGAAGGGCTACAAGTTCATGAAAAATTTTCCACAAATTCCACAGACTTTTTTTCTTTCCTAAGATATTCTCTTAACTTAAATGTGAAAGTGTATTAAACTGTGCACACTTTAATATATTTACATGTGTAAATACACTCATATATGTATAAATATACAAATTAGAGACATGAAGGAACCTTTCAAAAACCAAAGCAGCCTGTGCCAATTCAAAGATGTGCAGGAGTGACAGAACTCATATTCTGTGAGCCTTCTTCATTGTTAAAATGAGATTGCTGTCTCATACAACTGCTAAATGCTATATTTACTCTAAGATTTCATGATCTATTAACTGCAAAATTAAAATTGAAAAAAAGGGAGTTGTTTTAGTGATCACAGTGTAGGAAAAAGCTGTTAACTAGGCTTGTAATCATAGTGGGTTTGTTGCAATATGAGTATTGAATAATAGCTTTCTCACCTTGAATTTAATTCCCATTAAAGGTGTCTTATTCTGGTGACAGAGACAATGTATCTCTGATTTCAAGACATGACTGTTAGAGAAAGTACATACCTTTCATCACATTTGATTTTTTATTGTTGTGCTGGGGGTTCATTGTAGCACTTACAAAAGTGCTACAATGAATTCACCCCCTCCATCATGCCAAGTTGATCTTTCTAGCACCTGATTTTATTCTACTTCAATCCATTTTTCTTATTTTGCTGTGTGAGTCATCTTGCTGAGCTCTGCAGAGTATAATGTAATATCCTTAGCACCTAATAAGCTGGCAGATACATTTCCATTTGAATGTAGATGCTATAGAAAATTTAACTGAATTAAGTTATAATGCCTCACTACTTTTAAGTGGTCCATGATGGAGGATTAATGAATTTTTTAGTTCATCATTATATTTTGGAAATGTGGCCATCTGATGCTTTTGGGGAAAAGATTATAACAGGTACAGTCAGCAATTTAAATACATAGGCATAATGAAGAAACATGTATCATAGCAATTAGGAAAAAGAGCGAGTCTTTGAATGTTGTCTTTTATTCATTACAAAAATTTAAGGACATCAAATTAATTACTTAGTAAGTAAGTTATTTTGGATGTTTTTTCCCTCTGGTACCATCTCATTTTCCCCCCTTAATTAACAGTGACAGTATAGTTTGCAGAATATTAGACATTGATACAGCAGAGAGAATTAAATGATGCAGTGGTCATAATTTAAATGGAATTGAAGATGTATTATATATTTACTTAAATAATTAAAGCCGCAAATTCCAAAGTGAAAATATACTAGACATAGTCTGTATTTGGTATTTTAAGTGATCTGATCAACTTAGGGAAAGTGATTTATTTAAAAGTTCTCCACCTTTCTATAGTTTTAAACAGGTTTTTCATATGAAAAAGTTAAAAATTGCGTAAGTGGAGTGAATACTGTAATTCAGTGTTGACAATTTTTAATATTTGTTAAATTTTTCTGGTTCTGTTCACCTTCTTTTTGTTTTGGGTAGGAATAGGCTTGAATATTTTAAAGCAAATCCTAAATAAACATGTCATTTCTTATGCAAATTAATATTCATTGTATACATAAGGACTTTTAAAAATGAGCCCTTTCTTTATCCTTGGTTTTACAGAAACATTTAACCTGAAAATAGCTACAAATTAGAAGAAAGAAACGGCCTCTTATCATAAATTTGCCACGTACAAGGTTGTTTTCCTTGAAAATTATCTGATTTTTGAAAGTCCAATGACAGAAATGATTTTGTAAAGGATTAGGATAGAGAAATGCCATTTTCCACTTGTTGCATAATGAACACCTGTAAACAGAACACTCTGAGGTGTCTCTAGCTGAAAGACACCTGTACTCCTTCATGGTCAGCGTTGGCCGGCAGCATCTCCTGGCGGCATTGCATAGTCACTCCCTAGCTCTGTTATAAACGATTAAGAAGTCACACTATAGTAGCTTAAACCCATAGAGTTCAAAAATATGCCCTGGCATTTTCCTTCTGTGTCATGGCCACTCAAACCGTGGTGCCAACTTAGAGTTGAAGAAAGGTGACTGAAAAATGGAACTATATTATTCATTGGATAAAACAGATAAAATCTACCACACAAGTCAGAGTGTTCTGTGTGGATCTAAGCATACAAATAGAAAATTAGGAAAGTAGAGCAAGGATATTTGAACTGGGAACAAGGCAGATATAAATCGCCACTTTTACCACCTCCTGCCCACAGCCCACAGGTCTTGTGTTTTCATTGGTCAGAAGAGGGCTTGTAAAGAGGAGCATTGTTGAAGAAATTGACTCCATCATTTTTCTTACTTTTCCTCTGCTATTCTTCTATTTATATGGCAGAGAAGGTAGCTTCTAAACTGTGTGCATTATGAGGAGTTGAGGTTTTTAAGCCTCTTTGTATTCTGTAGTAAATAAAGATGGGCTTGCCCAAAAGGATTTTTCTTTCCTTCCTCACATGAAGTATTAATACTAGAAGATTCCTCTTGCCAATCTGTATGTAGCTAGTCTTACATTAGTGTTAGAGAATTGAAAATTAA